GCTCAGGGACTCTGTTATGAACTGCGTCGTTAGGTAGTTACTCATAAGGACGAGGTATTCGATATTGTAGTCAGGAGAGCGAAATATGCTGAAGAGGTCGAGGCTTCTGCTCCTGACAGTGATAGGGTAGATCGAGATTGATCTATGAGGCCTTCTGGTCAGCATGCGCTTTTCGTACGCTCTTATAAAAAAACTTGTACTGCTGTTCATCAGATGAGTCATTATGGTTCGAGGCCTGCATCTCGTCTACTTGTTGTAGCTAGTCGAGGTGATTCTGCATATTTCACTCCGGAATTAAGTTGCTAGTTCTGTGGAAATTGACACGGTGTAGAGTGTCGTAAGAATATGGGTACTTGTTTTCGTTGTGGATCCCGTAAGCATTTCCTGAGGAATTGTCAATATCCAGATCTTGTCGATCAGACACTCGTTCATACTCCTATGCGTTCTCAGGCCTCTGTTCAGACTCTATCTAGGAGTCATAGTCAGGATAGAAATTTCGGATATGCTTCTAGGGTCGACAGTAGAGCCCGATCGTAAAGTAGAGGACCAGCTGCTTCTGAGGCTCTACAGTCTGCCCTTGTTTACGCTACCCAACGTTCTCGTGATCGAGTTGAGCCCGAGACTTCTGTAGGTATATTTATTGTTATTTCTGTTTCATATCATGCATTTCTAACAACACCTTTTCTATACCTGAATTTTTTATCTTATGATCCATAGACTTTTGATTAAGGTATCGAGACCCTGTTTTCCCTCCGAGTCTAGTAAGATTCTTCATTATTATCAAAAGAGTGATTCACCCTTGTTCTATTTAAGAGCATTTAGAGACCTAGTTTCGCTTTCTGTTCGACTTTGGTGAATTTAGAGGACGAAATTCTTTTAAGAGGATAAGAATTGTCATAACCCAAAAATTTTCTTTAAAATTTAGATAATTGTTTTTTCGGACTAAACTACAAATTTTTAAAGCTTCTAAGCTAAATTCAAAAGTTTTAGAAATTCAAGGACTTAACCCTGAATTAACTCATTTTTCAGATCTATTGAAAAAACTAAGGTAATTGAGGAGGCTTGAACCCGTGTCAATCAGAGTAAGGTTTTCTATGCCTCTGTCATTTAAACTAGGCTTCTGTTCATGTTATTAATTATTGGATATTTATAATATATGCTTAAAAACCCCAAATTAAATTCCAAATTCTAAACCCCCTTAATTATCGCAGCTTTCCTCCTTCGAGCAGCGTCGTCCGGCCACTCTTGGAGCACGACGCCACCACCAGCGGACTCTTCGACTTGCGCTGATCAAAACCCTAGCCTCACCCAATGATAATTGGCCGCCAAACGTCGTAGGGAAGTTGATGAGTTTCCGTCGAAATCCCTAGTCTCACCATTCGGTTTTTCATGAAATTCTGCCACCGTGCTCAGCCGTTCGCCTCACCACCCGTAAATATCGATTCCTCATAACTGTGCTTTTTAAACCCGACTGAATCCTCCGTCTACCGTCGCCATTTTCGTCATCGTTGGCGTGGCTAAGAGTTTCGACCATTTTCTTTTTATTTCGACGATTTTAGGTTGATTTAAGGATTGATATGAGTTATTTTAGTTGTTTGGTGTGCTCGAAAGTAATTGACCATCCACCCCCGACCATGTCGCCGTCTCAAGCGCGCCCATGCGCCGCCGCGTGCGCGTGGGGCTTTTTCGAGCTCTGGTTTCTTCTAGAAACCGGTCCAGCCGGTCTGGACCAGACTGAACCGGCCCAACCCAACCCGAACTGCTGACCTGACTCGACCCAAACTGTTTGACCTGAGCCGACCCGAATTGTTGACCCGACCCGACCTGTTAACTTTGACCGACCCAACCCGCTAACTTTGACCCAAAAAGTCAATTTTTTTGAAAAGTCATATTTTATGTTTTTTGATATTCTGAGTTCAAATCCGAAGTCCGTTTTGCCAAATTCAAACCCGAAAGCCTCCGAATTGACCCGTAAACCCAAAAAATGCATATTTATTTAAGTGTTTTAATTCAGTTAATTGAACCGAATGGTCAAGGACTAATTAATGTTATCGTATGTTAAAGGTACTCAGGAATCTCCTGACCGTTTCACTGCTCGACCTGGTTCCTCCCGGTCTGCTCGTCCTCGAGAGGCCCTGAATAATCGTATAGTTCTGTAACCCTGTTAGATATTATGTTTAGAATATTATTCCGTATATGACCCTGTTCTGATATAACTTAGGTTCCCGTTCTGTCGAAGAGCCTAGTGAAGTCGGTGCTCGATAGATCTTCCGGACTGACCCATTTTGCGAGGTGTGTTCCTTGTGTGCAATATAAATGTTTTAAATATCTGTTTGAAATCTCATGTGCACATGAATGTTTTCTCTGATTTGAAATATAATGTTTGATCTGATTTGACTACTGTATAAATTACCTATTTTGAAACTTCATTCCTGATTTACTGAAGTATAAAGCATGATTGCCTGAATTATGATTTATAGTTATTGTTTTAATGAACTGATGATATGTCTAAACTCTGATTTACTATTACTATTGGTTACTGTCTGAAAAATGTTTTATTCGAGGCACTCTGGATTTAGTATGAAGACTCTGGCAGGTTCAGTCGCTGTTGGTAATTCATTGGATAGGTTCAGCATCGATTGGTAATTCCTTATGGACCTAAGGTGATCCTTAGGTAGGCTCTGCGACCTCGAGATTTTTCTTGGGTAAGCCTCCGTAGCCCCGAGAATTATCTTGGGTAAGCTCTCAAGCCCCAAGGTAATCCCTTAGGTTGTGCAGTTCTGGGGAACTGCACATGGCATTCAGTTGGAGGACGATACAAAGTTTTTAAATTAAAAACTCTTGTGATGTTTTAATGACTGTGATCTGCACTGATTTTAAAAGCATAACTGTATATTTTTATTTTTGCTCTGTTGGGACACACTGAGACTTTAGCTCACTTTTCAAACTATTTTACCCCCTTTTCAGATACTCTCGGATTGGCACTCCGTATCAGGCACTTGGAGGATTGACACATTTAGTACATATCTTTTTGTTGTAATGTTTCTCTCTCCCGAACTGCTTTTAATTATAGTGACATGTGCCTTATTTTTGAAGTGTTTATCTTTTTATGTTGTTTACTTCTTTTGCTACTGATATCTGATTTACTGTGTTTTGGATTTGTTAAATGTTTTATTTTACCTGATCGCTTTTAGTTTTATATTTACGAGTTGTGTTTTTTATCGTTAATTATGATACTTTTATAAATGTCATTTTTAATATGATTTAAATTATCGAATAACATTTTTGGAAAAAGTTGTTAATAATCTTTAATGTAATCCGCTAGACTTAGTCGAAACGCATAGGTTGGATCTAGGGGTTACACAAACACTACACTTTGCAATTCAACTTTAACCATGGACCCTCCCGCATGTTGCTTGAAATAATAAAATTCCAAGGCACGAGGTTAACACCAAAGTAAAAACAACAATCCATCGTCGACCATCCAAATCACAACCTCAATTACCATCCGCAAAGCCAACAATAGATAGTCTACGAGCAGGTTTAAACTATATACTGTACTCCATAGTCCTCTTTAGATGACAAAGTATCTGCTTCATCATTTTTAGATGAATTCAGACATTTTGTTGACAGCAAACACGATCTCAGGCCTTGTAATAACAATATAATGAAGTGCTCCAACAATGCTCAAATATTAGTGACATTAACGATACGACTCCCTCCGTAAGCAACAAGATCCAAGCTACTCACCATAGGTGTAGGCGATGCATAAGCATCTTCCAAACCCCTCTTCTTCGATAACTCTAAAATATACTTTTGTTGACTAAGAAACAAAACTATATGTGAAAGTGTACCTGAATACATCAGCAGATTAAAATCCTTAGTATTGTGATTTTATCTTCTAAATTAGTACTCAAGTATTTTAAAGATGATGGTTCTCTCTTTTATAAAGATAAGATATCATGAAAGTTATCTCACATGTAATTTGAGGATCATATCTTTACTAAATAACACAACACGCTACTTTTAGTTTCTAATAAGTCCATCAACAATTAGAAAATAATTATTTGAGATTCTAAACATACATAACTCATATTTTATTTAGTTAATAAAATTTAATTAACTTTACTTATATTAATCATTTTAATATAGACCAATTCTTTTATAATAGTAAATAATACAATTATTTACTTATTATATATATTATCTTCAACAAATTTAAAAGTTCAGTTAATACAATTCTTTTATAATAGTAAATAATACAAATATAATATTAAATTTGATAGTAGATTTCAATCAATTATAAATGGAGTTGTGGTGTGTTTATTGATCGAGTATTGATGGTGAAAATGGATGAAATGTGTGAAGGTTGGATACGAAAATTTTAATTTTTTTAAATTATAAAAGAAAAAGAAAAAACCAAACCAAAATTTTCATTTTGACTTTTAGGTTCATTTATTATTGTTTATTCTCTGGTTTTTGTTGAGAAAGATGAAGATTAAAACATTTTGGTTTAGTTTTTATTATTTAAAATAGAAAAAGTGCTTTTAAAGACTAAAAAGAAAAACATTATAGAGTGATTGTAAAATAATATTTATTCGAATTTAAAACTTTTAAAGATAATAACGTTCTTTATATAATATTTATTCGAATCTAAAACTTTTAAAGAGAATAACGTTCTTTATTATAATATGACGGATTCTTATAATTATGATTTTTAAAAATTTAACATTTATATTAAAATAATAAATTTTAGAAAACGTAAAAATAAAATTTACAAATATAGAAAATTGAATTGATAAATACTATAAGTATGAATTAAATTATAAATTTATAAATTTTAAGAACTAAATACAAAATTATATTAATAAAAAATTGACACGTAAATTACCATTATCAATTAAGGGTCGGTGATCGAATTGTAACTATATAATATTAAACCCTAAGAATTGTGATAAAAATAGAACACAATAAACAATTGGATGACTAATGAGAACATAAAGCCTAATAATAAATAAATAAAGTAATAACAATGAGGGGGACATGGTTTCTTGGCTTGCAAATGAAGTAGAGATGAATTTTGAAGCAATAATAGTGTTGAATGAATTTGAAGTATGAGGTTGCACGTCACCCTGTGCCTTATCAAATCCCAATCGTCGTGTCTGGGCATCGAAAATTGAAACTTGGAGGCTTTACCTTTAAATTGTCTTATTCTGTTGGAACACAGTTAGATTAGATTGAGATAGACAACAGTGCTTGTTCTTCACACTTGCTTGCACGCCTTCTTTTTCTCTCATTTTATTCTTACCAAATTATTCGATAGGAACATGGATTGCCCTCCAAATGTTTGATCAGATTGTACAACCAAAACATGTCTATTTTTGGGACATCTTCCTTCTCCTCTTGATTTCTTGTTCCAGTTCATCTGACCCTCCCACGTCTTCTAATTCCTGCAACAATTATATTCAATCAATCACCTTTTTTTTTCTTTTATTGCTCATATTTTCTAATAGCAAATGAAAAAGGGGATTGCCTGAGGTCCTAAGAACAACCCATATGGAATTCCACCAAATTTGTCTGCATGATGAAGCTGTTTTATATAAAATAACATCTCATGTTAGTAAATACATCACTTACAAATAAGAAGAAAAGTGTTACTACGAGGAGAAGTTTAAACTTACTTGATGGGCTGCAGCTACTCTCCGTAGATTCGGTACATTAGCAATCGGTCCCACTGGAAATCGACGGTGGACAAGACCGTCGTGTACGAACATGTAGGCCATACCAAAACCCGTGATTCCCAAACCCTAAAATGGAAGAGTGAGCAATGACTTGACGTAATCGATGAAATATGAAATGGAAAGGTGAGAGTAACTCACGGCGCCAAAACAGAGTCCAGGGACAATTCCACTGTTGAAGAAACCGTAAGAGAGCAAGGCAATGGCAGGAACTGCGTTGATTACTGCAAATACATCATTCAGCTCAAAGGCTCCCTCTCTTGCTCTATGATGAGACTGCCAACAGGTTTCTCTTTAAGTTTTAATTCATATATAAATTACTGTATATAAATTCATAACCGACCTTGTGCATATGCCATAATGAAGCATGCCATAGAGCTCGATGCGCCCACCTGGCCCAATATTCCATCCCCACCTGAAATTTTAACCAAATCATATCATATTAATTAATTAATATTACACAAGGCACTGGGATTTTGTTAAGACTGCGTGTCTATGCTTACTGCAGCGCCAACTGAGAGAGCAAATGTACAAACCATCTCTAGCAGTGGAAATTCTCCACCCTGTAATTATTCAAAACCAAAATTAGAGGTTAAAACTCTCAACTAAAACAGTGATTATGTAGTTGTTAGTTGCTTGTTCACCTCCATTTGCCCTGCAAACCTATAATAAACTGCCATAATCGCCACTGAAGAGATGCCTAAACTCGACAACATGGCTGCAAGCAGGTAAGTTGTTCTCTCCAATTTCTTCTTAGCTGCTCTCTCCTCCACCTTGGGATTGAAATCTTTCATTACATCACTGTTGACTTCGTTAACCAGTTCCTTTTCATTCTCCTGATTCTTTCTCTGCTGCAACACCATGCGTACGTTAACAACGTTCTTCTTCCTCAAAACATGACTACCCTTTCCCTGCAACTTGGCTTCTCGGTTCAAAACCGAGAAGCAAGCCGCAATAGAGATGGGTTTTCCCGTTGAAGCACTGTTACGTACGAACTGGTACATCACTGTATTGCTTGAACTCGCCATGGATTCAGTTATATATATATATATATATAGCTCAAAATTAAGCTGACAAAAATACGTTGGGGGCAAAAATAAAAAAGTACGTGTTTTTAAAGTTTAAACAAAGAAAGGATATCGGGATTTAATAAGATTTTTGCGTAGAATTTGAGAGCTTTACGAAGCCAAAAGCCGAAGGGATATTTATGGGGAAGAAGAAGAGCGGCATATATTTCAAGTTTCCGGTTATTGCGGTGCTGATGCAATATAACAGTGCATACTACATAGACACAGCTGTTGACATGTGGCATTACCGCGCATTTCAATTTACTAAACCGCCCTAATGTTTTGGGTCCAGTGGTTCACCATTCGGTCCAAAGGTGGTTCATGACTGTTCAAATCGTTTTTTATATTTTAATCCTTGTGAATTTGATTTCATCCGATAATATTTATATATAGATTTTCTTTCATAAATTTAAATTGAGTATGACGTAGTAAGTGTTTGTTTAAACTCTTTTCATTTTTTAAAAATGAACATTCATAATTATACACTTGATATTTGAATTCGAAATATTAAAAGATAATAATAAATCTTTTAATCATTAAAATTATTGTTAACTTTTATTATTAAAGTGATTATATGAAACAAAAGATTTTATTCAGTTATATAATTAAAACCATTTGAAAATTTTATTATAAATATAAAATAAAAAAATAGATTTATATTTTATTAATGTAAATGATAGATATAGATGATGGAATAATAGAAGACAGCAGGTGACTGGACAGGTGGGTAGACTGCTTATTTTGAGACGATATTGATTATTATTATTTTTCTGTACTAGTTAAATTGTTATAGGTGATTTTTTAAAAAGTAATTTTAGTAAAAATATTATAAGACTTAAAAATAATAATTTAATTCTTGAGAATATAAATTTTATTTCTGACAAAAAACTAAGAAAAATTGTAAAAAAGAAAAAGTATGATTTTCAATAATTGTTAAAATTTTCAAAATAATAATTAAGTAAAATAAATCGAAAATATAGAAATGATGAATTTATTGGTAGAGCAAAGTATTTGATCGTCAAAACTGGAAGTCAGAATACAGATTACCTTTAAATTGAGATATAATGCTTTATTTATATTTTTTAGAAATAAAAATATTCTAAAAAATAAATTTTAAGATAATATACCTTAATATTACAAACAAAATTTAATATATTACATTTATAAATGTCTACAAATAATATATAACTAAATACGTTAGACGTACCTTTGGAGTTTGGACTATTTGGACAAAGTCCGGCTCTTTATGACCCAGCATACAAGTGCGTAAATGACCCAGCCCAACATAGCAAGTATTAATGGTCTTCGTTGTGGGTTTTTTCTTATTTATGATGAGATTTGATGTTATGTCTTTAAACTTAATAGGTATTTTGAATGGTAAATCGTATTATCGAGTTTAGAATCGTGTTTTACATTAATAAAAATATTTTAAGATTTTTTTGAAGATGGAGAGATGAAATTATGGAATTAAAATTGTATTTAGGTGCTAAAAAATAATATCTTGTTAATTATTAAGAATTTAGATCCAATCATTGAAAAAAAAATATAATAAATATATCAGTTATTGCATTATTAACGCGTTTTCTCTCTCCAAATTAATAAAAACGTCGCTCGCCCTAATTTTTTGTTTGGGGTCCAGTGAAATTGTTGGTAGGGTTTAGGATATTTTATGTGTGTCCATTTATGTCTAGTAAATGGGTTACAAAAGGCGGTAAGCTAGCTTCACCATCAAGTGTCTCTACGGCTTCATGGCCTTCCTAGCTACTCTTATATATATATATATAAGGTTTGGATACATTTAAACGATATAATTTTTTTTTCCTTTTTTACACAAATTTAATATCGTGAACTAATGAGATTGGTTCAAGTGATAAATAGTTTGAATTAATGGGGGTTGGTTTAAGTGGTAAGCACCTTGATATCGCTTAAGCAAGGTCTCGAGTTCGAGTGTTTGAGGAAGCAAAATATCTCTGTTGGGAGACTCACCCACCAAAGCTAGGTGTGCAACGCGAGTTGGTCTGAATTAGTCATGGCGAAGCCTTGAAACCGGAAGGGCAACAAAAAAAAAGATTGTTAGATGAGTAAAAAAAAGATAGCTGGGATTAACTCTTTATTTTTTCAATGAATTTTTCTCATTTGCTATTATTAATCTTAAACATCTATTTTCACTCATCTTACTATCTTTAATTTGTGTAAAACTAAAAAAGTTTCACACTGAGTAATTGGATCTTATCCCACATATATATGTACCTTGAACCCATTAAGTGGCATAAATGATCAAAAGAAGTGTTATTCTTTCTATAGGTCATGGGCTCCATCAATTGCGTTTATAAGATGTATATTATTAATAGTTAAGAAATATCCCAAACATACACTACCCTATAATGTCACATACAAAATCTAGCATTTTCAAACAAAACAAAAGAAAAAAAAATCCACCCTATAATGTCAGCTGGATGAATTAGGATTTAATATTGCATTATAACATAAACAATAACAATAACAAACATGACTTGAATTATGTCATAAGCCTTCTGGCTTTATATATTGATATTAGATAGGTTTAAATGAAAAATAAATGTTAAAATTATGATTTTTTTAAATGTTTAATTTCTTTTGACAATGTAGATTTTAACATTTTCAAAATTTCTATATGAAGTGTCTAGCTATTAACGACTATTAAAAGATGTGTTATCTAATACGTGATCGACATATAACATGTTTTTTCCCAAAAATATTATAGCAATTAATTTTCTAAATCATAAATACTCAAATCCCAAAATTTATAACATTGAATCCCTAAATCTCATATACTATCATTGAATAAATCTCATATACTATCATTGAATTTATCACTACTAATCACCTCTTTTATCTTCGAACTCCTACCAGTCGGCCACCCTCTTAATGTCACACATTATGTTTGAAATTACATTTTATCACATATTGTCCCTAAACCATATTGCATAAAATCATTTTTTTTATCTTATCATGTTCAATTTGAGACATTTTAAAATAACTAACATACGATTGATACGTAAGAAGATATCTCAACCAATAAATGTCAAAATCTCATCAGAAATTTAATTGCAAGTTAGCTAATATTAGTTCAGACTTTAAAAATAACTTCAATTATTGTCCAATATTAATTGTTTAACCCCTTTTATACTCGTATCAGTACAATTATATCTAAAAATTTTAAACGAGAAAAAAATTATAAACAGTAGAGAGTAAATTCATTACAGAGAAAAATTGTACAAGAAAATTACGATATTAAGCATCATCTATTAAGAAAAGCGAATAATTATATTTCTTAAATTAATTTTTCACCAATCAAGTTGTAACATAGATTTTTCCAATAAAATCAAATGAATTTTGAATCATGATATATAACAATTTCATATTATAAAAAAATATCATAATTATTTTATAATATTTAAAAAAGGTTAATAATTTAATTAAATAGATAATAAATGCGAGAAACACTGTGGCGAGTGAATGATCAGAAAAGCTTGGCTGAAACAGGATATTTGTCTATTCAACTAAGACCATATACTTTTTAGACATAATTAATGTTAGAAGGTCACTTCATTTTATGGTAACCCCACTGGTTGAGCATTTCAACTTCACCAAGATTCAGTGGCTGCCATTTACAGATCATTTTACACTCACAAAATGTTCCATCACCAATTTCAATCCCTCAGTCAACTAATTTCTAAGTTTTCATGGATAGAATTGTTGAGCAATATTAGTGATATTAAACACATACAATATTATAATCACTTTAAATTATTTTAAAAAAGGTTTTCAATAATATAAGTTAGATTATTATCGGTAACCGTTAGTTTTCAGAAAGAAACGAATTGTATATACAATACTGAAACTGGTTCGAGTAGCCTCAGTTTATATTGATCGATTTCAGAATCATCTTTATTGATGGTTAATTATGTAGTAATTAGCCATTACCTGAAAGCTGCATTCCTTAGCCCTACAAGCTCCCTTACTACCGAGCCTTGCCATCAATCAAACATGCTTAGTTCCTTTTTCATATTCTTACGTTTTCCGAATACAAGTCATTAATGGGACCCGTTGCAACACTATATCAACAACCAAATTATCACTAATAATTTCCCCTTTATGCATATGTTGTGATAATCACCCATTATCTTGATTTAACCCCATTAACACACCCTTCTACCTCTTAAATAGTGAGCTTTGTTGATGATAAAAGTATATTAGGTTACAGTGAAATCCCAATGCAAAAGTTGTCTTATGAATATTTTATATAAAGGCAAGAAAAATGTCTCTAACGTTTAATTAAATAGTTATTTTAGCACGAACCAAGCAACCTTAGTGGTTAAGAGATTTGTTATTTTCCCTTGAACTCTCAGGTTCGAGCACCACATATGTAAGGATATAATCGTTCATTGTCAAAGGATTGTGAGTTTTTAAACATATTCTACCTTGTATTTATCCTAGATTAAAAAAAATATTATTTGGGCTCCAATTATTTTTGGGATCACTTTAATCTTTAACATTTTATTTTGGATAAAATATCATTTGATTAGATGAAAATCGTTATTTGACTAACGATTAACGTTTATCGTTAATGTGACAAATACTATATATCTAAAGTAATGACATTGAATATGTCATTATATATAAGTGATGACATAGCGCATGATACATGTTTAAAGTGATAACATGAAATATGCTATGTATATAAGTGATGACATGTCATATATCACATTATCATTTTAGATACATAAGACTTGTCACGTCAATAACAAATATTAATCATTAGTTAATTAACAGTTTTTATCTAATCATATTTTTTTTTACTTAAAATAAAACGTAGGGTATCAAAAAAACCTCAAAAGGAAAAAAATAAAATAATAACTATTTTATTAAACTTTAAGGTTGATTTTAGTATTATGTCTTCATATTTTGTATTTTTATAGTGAGGTACCATCACCTTAGTACGCTGATTTTGACTGTGATTGATTAGAGTGTGTAAATTGCAAAGATGGTGAAATCATGGGCTAGCCTAGATGCCTCAACATTAGTCCAACCGCAAATGGGACCGAGGTTAACCACGTATTAATTAAAGTAATGATCGGTGGTTTAACCAATCCCAACGTGGATTACCTGTCAACAGTATTGAAGTGAGAAGCAGCAGTAAATCCTGGTAATTATTGTTTATTATATTGGTCTCAATGGCGGATAGAGCCTGCTTGATTTGAACACAACCAACCAACTGATCTCTTATTCTTTTGCAGAGAGACAGATCTGAAGTCGCAATTATTCTTTTGTAAATATTGACGTTTCTGCAATATAAAATTTAGGGTTGGAGTGGCATCTCTAGGGTTTGAATCCATGCTCCCATGATTGAAAAACCTCGCACACCGGCTCCAAGAAATTATAGAATGGTTCATTTTTCATGTGCCTCATAAGTTTCCTCATGGTCCACGTGCTAAACTGATAATCGTTGTTTAAATTTACATATCTCCTACAAGTGAATCCATTTACATACATACAGGTTAGGTCAAAGATAAGCATCCATAATATTAAAAAAAAAAAAGGCATCCATAGGATACTCCTTTCCAACACACAATTAAGATTTAATTAGTGATTACGCATGATTTTATGTTAGAGATACGAATTTAAAAAGTTATATTAAAAATTTAGGTACAAAATGAAAATTTTAAAACTTTTTAGAGATGTGACCGCATCCCAACATCTCCTAGATTCATCCCTAGCTAATTTAAAAAAAAATATTTTGGGGATAATTTATCTGAATATTTAAGAAAATTTAAAGGTTAAATTAAAATTTTAAAATTGTTAATTTATTTTTATTTTTTGGATATTTTTATTAAAAAATTAATAATTTTGAAAGATTTAGTGAGAACTTTTAAAAAAATTAATTAGAATTTTTATTAAAATTATTTAAAAGTTTTAAAACGTAATGAGAATTTATAAACATTTTGAGGGGACCAAATTAAACATTTTTAAAATTTTAAAGAGCCAAATGTTAATTTTCCAAATTTTTTTTGCCATGGTCTCTTAATCTCCATTACCGTCCGCCACTGCCAACACACTTGCAATTTTGCAACAATTAGTTTGTTTTATCTTACTGTTTATTGCTATTTGCTATGGCCAAAGCATATGTTAAAACATGTACATGAAAATGATGCACATGTTAAAGCATGTATATGAATATGATGCGTATGTTAAAACATGCATGTACATACACATAATCCCATCCATACAGACACAGTCCCCGAAGCACATTATATATTAGGGTTTCTTCCCCTTGTTTGAAATTTACTTCACTAAATCTTGCACTTGTCCAAAAACATGAGTAGAGGTTGCAGCTACGGCGGCGGCCAAAGTTCCTTGGGCTACCTCTTTGGTGCCGATGAGCAGCCAAGTGCACCGACTGAAACACCACCGATCCAGCCTCCATATGGCACAGAAATTACCCCAGAGAACCCTCCGTTGCAGTATAAACCAAGTTCAGAGAAACAGACTGAGAAAAACATCATCAACAACTATCATAGGGCTAAAGGACAGAATTCAGGGAACTTCATCACTGTGAGTTATTACTTTTATCATGTGTATGTTTATACTATATATATGTATAGTTTTTAACCTAATTAGTAACAGTGCTGTAAAAATTGCAGGATCGTCCGTCAACGAAAGTTAAATCAGTTCCTGGTGGAGATTCCTCTCTGGGTTACCTGTTTGGGGACAACTGATGCAATAATTCCTTCTTACAGGTATAAGAATATTGCTGTATAAGGAATTGAAGATAACAAGATAAGTGGGGTTTTAAATACATCTGCAGTACTTGTGCTAAATAAGGGGTTCAGTTTTCCCCATATCAGTGTCGAATTTGCCAGGGTTTAATGTTAATGTATGGTATTTACCAGAAGTTTCTATATGGGTGTGAATTTGTCTTATGAACTTTGAGTAATAATTAATGAAGTTTGTGTTTTATATTAAATATCCAAATTTGGATTGTGGGATTTCTTTTTCCCATTTTGTATTGTTCTTTCTGAATAATTTGTTAATGTTAAAACTTGTTAGTGCTTCCTTTTTTGTTCAAACTTTTTGGTGTTTCCACTTCTGATTTCTTGCATTTAAAAACACTGAAGATTTCTGAATTAAAATTAAAAACACAATGTTATTGTTTTATTTTCTTAAGCTTCGTTCATCAACGTAAACAATTTTCTTAAGCTCAAATTCATGGAATTCTTACTATCCATATGCATTAAACAAGTCCCTTTAATAATATATGCAGTGATCCAAACAATCGATGAAGAGCCTTTCACCTACCAAGATGCTTTCATTTATTGAAAAATACAAGTCTTATTCTAATGATATGTCTTTAAGACCAAGATCTCCTTCTGATTTTAAAGATAGAATTTGATTCCAACATATTTTAATACTAACGACGAATGAATTATTATCCTTCCAAAACAACCAGGTACAAAGATGATTAATTTTTTTCACAACTTTAGGAAGAATAAGTTGCATGCATTAGTAGTTTGTAATATTAAACAAGACATAACGAATGAGTTGCAGTCTACCAACATAAGTAAGGTTCCTATTTGATTACTGTCTAGATCTTGTTGTGATCTTTTCAAAGAACTTTATCAGTTTTTCAGTTAATATTCTTATAATAAGAGAGACTCTCAAATATCTAACAAAATAATCAAATTGAAAATCTCCTTAACTGCAGCTACACCAACATATTTTCATGGTAATTAGGAAGCAACAGTTGATCACTAACATATTTTAGGATGTTCTTATCATCATTGCCCCACTTGTCTAACGCAATTTCTTTTAGCATCTTCACTAGCTTAATTAACCTAACATTTAGAACTGATTTTTCCTTCATAAAAATCTTCTGTCTGCAGTGCATTATACAACCAATTTAAACATATCCATTCAAATACTCAAATGTTAATATTTTTTTTATTAATATGGTGTAAGTACGATATAGTATATGTTTAAAGATATCTCTCAATGTTTGGCATTAGTGGCGGGTCTAGGAATTCAAAATTGGGGTCAAAATTTTTAATATATTTTTTTCAAAATTAAAATGGATATGTAATTTTTTTTACTCCCTTTTTTTTCTAAAATTTTCAAAATAATAGGGATGCACTTACTCTCCCTATGGGGCTTAGTTCATCGTTACCTAGTTGGCAGTCCATAAAATATCAGTCCATAAGTTGAATATTTGTTGATATTACAAGTTGGCGATGACAGGTTTTCGATCAGAGTTTTGGAGATCATTATGATCAATGAAGACTCATCTTCCATACGTTCTGATCGGAGGGGGGGGTCACCAAGTTCATCGGAGACGTACCAAAATATGTGGGAAGAAGATGAAGAGTGTGTGCAAGGTGAAGGGGGCGAGTCTAATTTCAAAGAAGACGCATTTACTGATATTAGCAAGAATGAGATGAGGTGTCCTTGTCGGCAGGAGATTCTTGATGATATTGTTGAGGAAGATAATGTGTATGATGGGCCTGCTGTTTCTGATAGTGTTGTCCAAGTGACAACTGATGGTTCATTGCATGAGAAGAATGGACAAGATGGGTCTCGATGTTTGAGGTTTGTAAACTGTTCCTTTTTTCTTTTTTTTGTTGTGGACTGCTTTTTGCAGTGTGATATATTTAACCATTTTATGTTTTTCTTAAATTAATTAAGCAAATAATTAGGCATTCAGCAGCTGTTCCAATTAAATCATTTTTAGGTGGTTGAAAATGTTTGATCTTAAAAAAAATAGTTAAAGAGATGGAGTTGTATTTTATTAATTTATAAAATTATATTTATGTTTCATTTTAAATATAAAATTATTTATATATATATATTAAAAATATAAATAATTTTTATTAATTGCTTTAAAACTATCTAAAATTAAGGAATATAAATATTATTTAAATTATAATTTATTTTATTTTATAATATTATATCTAAAATATATATATTAATTTCTTTACACAATTTTTGATCATGTTGAACACTTAAAATTCTTAATACTATAATTTCTTACTTATTACCAATGTACACATACCTTGTAGATACAATTGTTCGAATCCGAATCTTGAGAAAACAACGTTCCTTTCTTTTCACTATTTAAACCATACTTTAGAAAACATACTTTCCGTCTTACTAAATGTGTCTCTTTTAATTTTTAAAATTATCACATCCAAAATATCATATTAGAAAAGTTAACAAATATCAACAATTATATATTTTTTCCCTTGTATGTCCTATTATTTTACACATGTCTAAATAAATCTATCAAATCTATCAATCACTTTTTAGAGATAATTTTATCATTTTTCTTGATTAAATGTATCTTCTAAAATTATGTATAGTCAATATGAAACACAAATTATAAGACAGAAGGATTAATGATTAACAATACTACGTCAAATTAAGGCAATAACAAAGATCTCATGCTATACTTAAACTCACCCTACATTGCCTTCCGATGTTGAAACCTATTTAGATTATATTAAAGAATTAAGTATACATAACCAACAACCAGTTGATCTAGTATGATCAGACATTAGATCTAAGCAAGATCATAAATTTAAATTTAGCGCTTACGAATGGAGTAAACTGAGTTGGAAGAGTCGTCTCCATAATAGACTTCTACAAAATCTGATATCAAATAATTAATTAATAAATCAGATACGAAGAATTAACCAAAAAAATCAACAGTTACAATATGAAATGGTATTACAATACTATAAGAGAAATGTTTAGATGCCACAATTTACAAAACCCTTCTTAATTAGGCCAATGTGAAAACATGTAAAATTTAGATGATACATCATTAATATAATAATGTAAACCATTTTTTAATAAAAAAGATTTGATTTATTCGGTAAAAAAGAAAAGACAAGATACGACTCATCTCAGTACAAGTACATGATATAGAACCTAAACTAACACCAGATTGGGCTTATGTCAACCAGTTTGGGTACCAAATCTCACAAACAAGTTATGTTTCATCTCATTGTAGATTAGTTTCACTTCAGGTGACAAAGAAGTAAAGTTGAATGATATCAACCTAATTTATATGAACTCCATTGAATGATGACCAACAACATCATACATATATGTATAGGAAATTCCAGGGAATGAAGCTGATTCCCGCTACATTTTTACATAAACATCCCATTGGAGATTCTCTTAATGAACTGGATCTGGATTGAATAGCACAGATTCCCTCCATATAAGCTCTTTGATGTGATCTTCAGTGCATGATGATTGCTCGAAATCGAAACTGAAAGGTCGAGGACAGACGGGCTCGTCATTGGTATCATGAAGAGATGACAAGTATGGGTGACAAAGTGCATCTTCAACTGCATAAACAGATGCAACAAAGTAATTAATCACAGATATGGGGAACCATCACAAATGTTGTGCTTGAAATTCTAGTTACCTGTAATTCGTTTGTTGGGGTCAAAGACAAGCATTCTTTCAAGCAGATCAACAGCTGCAGCAGACATATTTGGGAACCTAGCTGAAAACTGTTGCTTCCTACATTGTGGAAGCTGTCTAAAGTACCTTCGGGCATTGTTGCTTCGGAGAAATCCGAGACTCGCATCGTCCGGTGAACCTATCAACTTTTGTACAAAAAAGAATGTTCAGCATTAAAAAATGAACAGAGGTTTACATCTAGAATGAAAGCATTGTGCAAGACCATAGCTACCTCAGTGATGAGTCTCAGCTGATGAACATAATCTTTGCCCGGAAACAGAGGCTCCCTTGTCATAATTTCTCCAAATATGCAACCAACAGACCACATATCAATTGCAGCAGTGTATTCTGAACAATTAAGGAGCAACTCCGGCGCTCGGTATAAACGAGTGACGACATACTCGGTCATGAAATCTGTTTCGGACGTGGTCCTGGCCAATCCAAAGTCGGCGATTTTAAGGTCGCAATTGGCATTCAAAAGCAGACTGCTTGGCTTAAGGTCACGGTGCAAAACGTTGGCTGAATGTACATACTTCAGCCCTCGTAACAGCTGATATAAAAAGTACTGCACAAGGTTTCATTATCAGATACTAATATAAATTAGGAGAAGCTAAATCAGTTACATAAATGTCCAGTCCCCATAGCCATTTTATCCAAACCTGACAATGATCATCTCTCAATGGTTGGTCAGAGCGAATAATGTGATGAAGATCAGTGTCCATCAATTCATATACGATGTAAACATCGTTGAAGGTCTCCTTCTTGGGTGGTCGAATGAGGTCCTTGATGGCAATGACCTGCAAAAGCAGAAGGAGATGCATGATTAACCCTGAGAACCAAAGCCTTGAAGTTGGAGTTTGTGGAAGTAATTATAAAGAGGCGGAGCTTACATTTTCATGGCTCATGTGACGAAGAAGCTTGATTTCCCTCAATGTCCTTTTGGCATCTACAATGTTATCAAATGCATTGCCGATCTTCTTAATAGCAACCTCCTGACGGGTCTCTGAATTGACGGCAGCACTGGAAAATAACCGCAATGAGATCATTTAATTCAGTCGATATCTAACAATCTCTCCAAAATAAATAAATCCTGATTTCATAAGAATTTTTAATTAAATAAATTTAATCTCAAAATAATCTTCAACAAGTAGAATTACGATAAAATTCGACTTAATTTCTAATTAAAATTTGAGTCAATATCTAATAATCTTTTCCTTGACACAAATTTTATTGAAAAATAATTTATATTTACAAATGGTGAACATATAATTTATTTTATATATGAACACCCTACCTTTATTTATGACATCAATTCAAAATTATTTTAAAAACAAATAAACAACATGAAAGCACCTAATCATGGTGAACAAAGAAAATTAAATGTTAATACATAGTATAATTTTTGAAGGCGTTAATCATTTGTAAACCATGTTATTAACTTAAAATTTAAATATATTTGGAAGATTATTTATACGATCGAAAGACAAAACGTCTGTTGTAATT